GTAAGGAGAAATAACCCAAGAGTGTCTGATTGCATCTAAAGCCTTTATATCACAATTGGCCTGGTAACTGGAAATGCATAATGAGAATAAAAGCTTCCTGTTATGCAAGAACACACCCTGCAGCCGTATTACAGCAATTCACCCACTTTATTCATTTTGTGCATAGTCACAAATACCCAGTAAAAGATTTACTTAATAGTTAAGTTAAATAGTAACATAAAGCTTTGAACTTCTTAAATACGGATGGCTTTTCCACTTCCAGGCATTCTTCACATCCAAAATCAGAGCTTTTCAAAGCCATTCTCCTCAAAAGATAAATGTGAAAAGTTGGCCTTTAGACGAGTGAATTAGGAATTTGATGTATGTGGGCTCAAACGGAGGCCAGGAATGTGTGGCAGTAAACAAAAATAACCTTTTCTTTTCCAAAGCTTTTTTTGTTTTAACTCATTTTTACCGTTTGGAGTAGAAGCATGGACTGACATAAATCTGTAGTGTAGACACTACTGATTCGACTCGTACCACAGCGCTTCATTACAATAACAGAAATAATTACTTGCCTGGTAAGTACAATTCTACAGGCATAATACATTTATCAACTTGATGTCTGGTCAACAATGGCTTGATTTATGGAAAACAGTGATGAATGATTACAACCAACACTTAAAAAAGTTACAAAGGTATTTATCTATCTACGTATCCATCTAGTATCTATCATTTAAGTTCAACCCCAAACTTTGATGATGTGTGGAACAATTGTTAAAACCAATTTTCATCTGACTATGAACTGTTGCATGAAGGATAAAACAATCAATCCCTGCACAGACTGAGGCGGTGTAATCTACGTCACAATTCATCGGTACTGTTTACATATACTTTCTTCTTGTGCAGCAAACAGCTTCATTGATTAGCATTGGGAGTTATTGGCTCATTTGCTTGATTACAACCTAAAGAAAGCAGTGGGCCTGCTTGGAAGTGCTGATTGCACATCGGCCGGCAACAAGCACATATCCGTCTGAGCATGAATGAATCCCTTTGCTTTTGCAGACTCAACAATTTGCCCTCACAGTGCGACTCTTATCAACCAGCAGGGAGGATGTGGAGGTCTCATTAGCATCACTTCCACTCTCTCTGTGGCACTGTCACGATAGACTCTGATCTTGCACTGTATTAAAAGTCAGTAGATGACAAGATGGAAACAAAAGAAAGAGATTCTTTTAGTTCAAGTGGAGCCTACACGTCTCTTTATGTGGAATTTCTCAGACCCTAATGGTGTTATAAATAGTAGTTTTCATAGTGCCAGGTACATGCACTGAATGTATTAATGCACCAAGAAAAGAGCTCTTTCACTGTAAAAAAAAAAAGATGCAGGGCTTTTTTGTCTGGATAGGCAGCACGTAGGAGGCTGCGCAGCTGCAGAAAGAAAAGCTTTGCAGAGAGTGGTGAAGGCTGCACAGAAATCTGTTGGAATCAGCCTCCCCACCATCACAGACATCTACACCTCCAGATGCAGGAAGAGGGCCACCTGCATCATGAAGGACCCCACTCACCCAGCACACACACTTTTTGCCCCACTCCCCTCAGGAAGGAGGTTAAGGAGCATTAAGTGTAGAACCACTAGACTGAGGAACAGCTTCTACCCTGAGGCTGTTAGACTCATGAATCTCTAACCAGAATAATCACTGTGAAAAACCATATCATGTTGCTGCTGATCTGTTTCATGTTGCTGCTGATCTGTTTCATGTTGCTGCTGATCTTTTTCATGTTGCTGCTGATCTGTTTCAATGTTGATGTGTTCCTGCGTGCACATCTGCTCACAGACTCATGTTCATGTTTGTGCTGATGTTCAATGTTTTATGTTATGAGTGCTTAGTGTATATTTAGTTGATGTTTTTCTTAGTTCATATCTTAAATGTTATTACTGTTTTTCTTATACATTTTATTGTTGGATGTAACTGGGACCCCGTGTACATAATTTCGCTCCACCACATGTACCACATGAGGTGCGAATGACAATAAAGAAACTCTGACTCTGACATAGACAGCCTGATTATATTTTATTGCTTTGTGAATTGAAAACCTCATGGATATCAGTCTTTTGTGCTTTGTTGCCTTGTTTTGGCAGTAGGGCTGCACGTGGATCACAATTTTCTCGTGCGTGAATTAAGATTAGGGATGCACCGATCCACTTTTTTCACTTCCTATATGGATATATGAGGTTTAGTATCGGTCTATACTGATCCGATACCGATCCGATACAGAAAACACAGTGCTGAATTAACTTAAAACATTTTTTTTTTTTTTAAACGCAGACGTAAATGTACTGAATTACAAATTTACTGAAAACTCTGCACCAGTGCAGCACACTTAAAACACATCAATAGTTTCACAAGCGTGATCAAACAAGTAAAAACAGCACAACCTTAATTTGTTCAGTTACGAGTATAACATCAAATGTCAAATAAATAATAATAGATACTGAAACTGACTAAATCAATAGGTTGACAACTTTGGTCAAACGTGAAAAAGTAAACTTCAACAGCTTCAGGAATTCTAAATATATTGTAAAATAAATAATAAAGGCGCTGAAATAAGAGGGAAAAACAATAGTTTCACTAACTTGGTTGGCAGATATTTAAAATAAACAGCCATCAGCTCCTGTCCTTAATCGGATCGGTCGGTCACGATACCCAATCGAGAATTTGTTTGATTTGTTTGGTACCGATATTGCAAAAATTCTTGATTCACATTGCGCATCAAAAAAACTATTATACAGTAATGCAGCAATATTTAGCGATGACCCAAACAAGCAAAGACATTGTCTACACTTTGACCTTGATTTGCGACTCTGACCTTGATCTTTATAAATAAATTTGACTTGACTTGATCTGAGCCAAACTGTGTTAGTATAATGCTGTTAGTATGACGTACCATGTGGTGTTGTTTCCTCTTTTTTGCTTTAAATGTTATCTTCAAGTACAGTACTAAATCCTAAAACTCTCCCAACAGAAAAGGCATGTTTCCAGACCAGTTACAAGGATTTCCAGTGAAGTGACAGAGTTGCATGACCGAACTGTCGAACCCAATAAAGGAATCAGAAATGGGGAGTTTTTGTCTGTAACAGTACATGAAGTTGTTAAAACATCTGGGACTGCGAGTGATTGTATGGTGAGTGAGTGAGCGTCTCAAAGCAGCAGGAATTAAAAACTTCACGTGAGTTGTTGTTGATTAGAATTGAGATCAGATCAAAATTGTAATTAGGTTTTTGCCAAGCAGAAAATAGTTTTTACTGTACTGCTTCTCATTTTTGTGGTTACTTTTAGTAAGGCCCATTATTATAAATATGAAACAACACAGCACTGAAGATTACACAAGGAATATGTTCAACTGGGCTGCGAATAAGGCGCGCAGCTGTTAATGAGGTGCTACAGCGAATGCTTATTTTCTAATTTGATGCCTCACTGGGTCCATCAAGTTTTCACTGAGCTGGCTTGTATTAGCTTAATAAACAAACTGAACTGCCATTTAAAATCAGAGCTGAGAGGGCCAGTCGTGAGCGCGCATCAGGGTTGGCACTGAGTCGGTGCTCGCATCTGCAAATCACATTCAGCCATGTGTGACGTCTTTTTTTTTTACTTGTTAAGGAAGGACCGCAATGACACCAAATGTACAGTAAGATCATGATTTTTTTAAATGTATTTATTTACAAAACAGTATGTTGTACGGTTTTACATAAACACGGGAGACAGAACTGGAAGTGGCAGAAATAAACATGTTGAGGGGAGACAACGATGGATAAGATTAGGAACGAGATCATCAGAGGTACAGCACAGGTTGACAACTGGGAAACTGGGAGATGAGGTTAGAGAGGTCAGACTGAGATGGGGTGGACATGTCCAGAGGAGGGACAGTGGTTTGGACATGTCCAGAGGAGGGACAGCGGGTAACAGCATTTCAATACAATGCTGTTATTGCGTCAATCAGCCCTCTGTGAATAAAAAGTGGCCATCAGGGCACTAATGACCAGTTGTTTGACTGATGGTCCTCGTTTTGCATGTGAATAACTAGTTTTGACTGTCAGCAGCAAACTGGTTGATCCACCATGAGTTGATGCTGCGGATAAGACTGAGGCCCTGTTTACACGATAACAACCTCTGGAAACGTAGAGTTTTTTAAGTGTTTAGTGGGTGTAACAAACAAAAATAGAGTGGGTTTACATGAAAACGCTGCAGTTTCCATGTCGGTAGTGTTGCCAGATAAGAAATTATGAAGTATAATACTGTATAATATTTTGACCTAAACTGTCATATATGCTGAGTAAGGGTATTGTAAGATGAGGTGTGTGTTGTGTTTGGTGAATGATGTGTGCACAGAAAACGAGGGGGTAAAATATATATATCTGGCAACCCTGAACAGGGCTCAGCTGTATTCATTGCACATGCATGGTGAACACATGAACGCTCCTGTGGACCTAGGGTTTTGCTGTTTTTGTCCCACAAGCTAATAACTCCAACGTCCACTCATGAGAGATTTCTCAACTATTTCCACAACTGAATAGCAGTTTTTTAAAGAATGAATTAATATTGAGCAATGAATTTTAAGAGTACTTTTTTAAAGTTTTAACAAAAATCCCTGTCATTCTTATGCCTGCTGAGGACACCTGACAACGATGCCAAACGTTATACGTCAGACACTTGTGCCTGTAAAATATTTTTAGAAGGTAAAAAATAATTAGATTTGTGAGGGTTTAGCTCATTCCCCTTTGTTGCAAAGCAAGTTTCTTGAAAAATCTGTTTCAAAGTGCCGTTTCTTTCTCCTTACTTTGCGCTTGCTGAAAGATCAGGATGCCCTCCCAGAAATGAATGAGCAAAAAGTTGGGATAGGGTTTATAAAGGTGTGAGGGAGGGGTGAATGCACGCCATCAATGCACTTATTTTTTAGATAACCAAACTTCATGGTTAAAATTCAAGACAGAACTTTAATAAGAAAAACTGCGTTCTTACCTGGCCATTGCCACTCCAAAAATACATCCACCCACTGTGGACCAGAAACCCACCCAGCCTGCATTCACCTGTGACAAAAGAAAGAAAATTGGGTGATGGGTAAAGGGAAGGTGAGAGAGGTATGACAGAGCAAGACAATGAGCAGAGCACAGAGTGTCTGAAGCCCGCTGAGACCTTTCAGTCACTATGGCAGCTAAATTGTTAAAGCTGACGGTGCAGCAGGTGTGTCCGGGTGAAGGACTGTTGTCCTTTCCTGTTTAGCCGAACGGAAGCCAACACGTATACTCCACCTAAAAGTCAAGAGAAAAACTTATATGGCCATGGAACTGCGACAGAATCCATAAAAAGCAAAGTATTTGATGTGTGACAGTGACACACTCAACCAATCAGTGTGAAATACCCAGAAGGAAACTCAAAGTCCCAAAGATGGTGTTGGTCTCCTCAAGGCCATAAATCCAATTGTACCCAACCCAACAAGATAGAAGAAGAGAGAGCAAAGGAACAGAATCAAAGGAAAGATCAGATGCTTTTTGCTTAATCACACTCTGCAGCGACATGTCAGGAAAGTATCTCATAAATAAAAGTGGACTGCCAAAGTTATCAAATGTAAAATGCATTCTGGCTCGGTGAGTGATGAATGTTAGAACGCTGTTACGTTTGATCTAAATGAACCTCCCTTCAGTCTTCCGTGGGGATCAGATTAATGGACCGCAGTAAAAACTTTACTGCATTCTGTCCTCAACTACAAAACAAAGATCAAAACATCTGAACGAAAGACATTACCAAACATCCACGCTTTAATATTTGCGGTTTATTTTTCGTATTGAGCCTGTAGAGATTTCAAAGGTGTTGAATTCTCGTTAGTTTGAACGCTAATTTAGGAGGCAATGCATAAACTGCTTTCAAAAATGTTCAAATTCTAAAATACAAATTATTATGTTCCGTGAGCTGGTGCGGAGTTAATTAACCGGAGTATTCTTAGAGCCTCAGAAGCCTGAGAAAGGGCAGATTTGAAGCTTAATCATTTCTGCTATGTGGGAAGTGAGTTAATAAGCTGAAAATGACTGAAGCTGTAAAAGGCAAAGTCTGAGCTTCAGTCTCTACATGTGCTTATGTTTGTTTTCTTTAATTGCCTCTCCCTATAAGCCATTTAAAACCAACAAAAAAAGATCCATAGCTTTATTTTAACAAGGTATTTTGCAGTTGACTCCATGTAATCTTAAAAAAAATCCACGTTTAATGGCGAAGGATGTGGTGACTATGTTAAATAGAAGGAGAGACTTGAAAGAAAAAATAGTGCCAGGAACTTGTTACATCTTTTTATGAATAAAAAAAGTTAATTAAACCAAAAGTATCTTGCCACATTAGATGAGCTTTCTGGGTCTTTGAATTCTAAATGGATCTCCATTAAAAAAGTGGCTACATGTGACTGATGAGCACAATGGAGCACCTGTTTCCTGGAGCACATTCATTATGGTGATGTTATGTGCTCGGTGATCCTGTCTGCAGGTTTCACATGATTCCCCTGCAGAGCTCCATGCTCTCAGACACCAGAGGTGCAACACTAAGAGACCCTTACATTATTCCAATCCCCTTAGTCTGTGGCTGAACAAGTTTTTTTGTCCCTTGCTATGGAGCCAAAATGAAGAATTGAAAATACCTCAGTTCATCCGTCTATTGACTCTTTGTTCATTTTTCCATCCAATCATTATCTTCTGCTTATTCCGAAGTCAGGTTGTGGGGCAGCAGCCTGAGCAAGGAGGCCCAGACATCTCTTTCCACAGCCAGCTCTTTGAGATTACCCCAAGGTGTTCCCAGGACAAGCTGGAGAGACGTAGTCCCTCCAGCTTGTCCTGGGTCTTACCCGGGGTCTCCTCCCAGTCAGACATGCCCGAACCACCGCGACTGGCTCCCCTCGATGTGGAGGAGCAGCGGTTCTACTCTGAGTCTCTCCTGATTACTGAACTTCTCACCCTGTCTCTAAGGGAGAGTCCAGCTCTGCAGAGGAAACTCATTTCAACCTCCTGGATCCACGATCTCATTCTTTCAGTCTCTACTCAGAGTTCAGGACCAGAGGTGAGGGGAGGAACGTAGACCTACCGGTAAACAGAGATCTTTGCCTTACAGCTCTTCTCCCTTTTCACCACAACAGACCGGCACAGAGTCCACAATACTGCAGACGCTTCACCAATCTGTTCATTTTTATATTGCTTAAAAGAATAGTTTCCTCAAATGATTGGGTCAAAAAGCAAAAGCAACATACCAATTTCCATTTTACTGTGTGGCTGCATTTAGAAGCAAGAAAGGCCACTATCAAAAATTAGGTTGTAACTAGTGACGGGATGTATGGCTCTTTGAAGGGAACTGGATCATGACGATCCGTTTGCTTCATAGACCTGTTCAATGGAGCCGTTCAATTTTGACAGTGACGTCATCACGTATGCTGTACATCATTATGTACGCCGTACGTACATGTACGATATGTACATGGGCATGGCCGTACCTCATGTTTTGTCAATCAGGAACCAACCTGAACTATACTTTAGGCTTTGTCCTAACTCCATCTTTACTCCATGCCCAATACCCAATGGGGCGTGGTGGCACAGAGGTTAGAGAAGATGGGCCTGTGATCGAAAAGTCGCAGGTTCAACTCCCTGGACTGACAACATCAAAATGTAGGTGGAAAAGTTGAAGCACCCACATCTGCCTCCACCCTCATTTGTCCCACTCTGGGCCCTTGAGCAAGGCTCCTAAGCCCCAAACAGGTCTCTCTTGAAAATGAGTTCTCGTGACTCAATGAGACTACCTGTATGAATAAAGGGTAAATAAAAAAACAAATAAAAATGCAACCATGAGGAAAACGAAAGGTCTGTGGTCAACAAATTGTTGCAGAAATTGTAACACAAATGAATAAAGAACACAATTTTAGATACAAAAGTGGAAACGGAACTTCTGAGATGGGTTTCTATTTAAAAAAAGGTGTCTTTTGACTTTTATACATTTTTGGGAGGAAAGCTGGGACCACTGTCTGATGATGTGTTAAAAACTGATGGGCAGGTATCTTTCAGTGATCGCTCAAACTTGCTGGAAGACTTGTTAGAAAAAATACTCTCTTTGTGGCACCAGCTCACTCTCCAACATCTTCCAGTATGCCACTTCCCAATCAGAAGATCCTTGTGTGGCTCTGTGCCTGCGCTCATCATTCCCATAATCAATCCATGCAACTTGTTCATTAATCTTGGTGCATTTCTAAGTTTTTTAGTGAAGCTTTACATCTTGGTGCACAGCAGAGAGAACATAGTCGGTATGACGCTTTCATGTTTGTGTCCTTTTTAGATGTTTTATTTGTTTCAAAGCTGGTTTGAATGGTTTCCTTCTAAAACACATTCGAGTTACTCTGTCATGGATGCATTGATTTCCCAATCCAATAATTAAAGAAGGCTTCAGCAGTATTATTGTCATCCAGTGACAACTGGGCTCTCCTGCTGCCTCAGAGCAGTCCTCGTCACGTCTCAATCAAACAGGGTGTCAAGATGAGGGAACAGAAGACAGTCCGTATTTTCAGAAAAACTTTGATGTGAAAGCGAAAAGCTGTCAAAGAATATGGAGGAAGAAATTAAATGAAACTCAGAAACAGAGATAAAGCAATGCTGCCGTATGAGTCAACTTCAGAAGAGTGAAAATATTACTTGACATCTGCAACACAGAGGTCAAACAGGAAATGAGGAGCATGAAGCAGCAGGTGGGCTGCAGAGGAATCACGGCTGCTGCAGGATTGGCCCAAAGGTAATGTAGCAATTATCTGCAGCTAAAAGGAAAACAAAGGTGCACTCGTCTGCTTGTTAGTACACTACCGTGTAATAAGGAATTACTTATTTGCACCAAAACTGACTACCGGTAATTAACGAAAAGCATGAGCAAATTTTTAGGAAGGGATAAATTGTTTGCTTGTGCTCGATACCTTGTGTTCTAGTCTAGCGCTTTCACTGCCTCTTCCTACATTCAAAAAATGAACAAGTCGTACACCGATGTCCCCCATCGCTGAAGGATTTGAATAGTAAATGTTTGTAGTTTTATACACGAGTGTTTTTCTGGACTGGAATTGAACAGGGAATAAGAATAAATCTTAATGGTTTTGGTACAAGATAGTCAAGTGGGAAGGAGTAACACTGTGTAGAAAAATAAGAGGTAGATTCTTTTTTCTTTAATTCTTGTTCAAGGCAGTGCAACGTGACGAATCCTTCCGAACGGAGGGAGAAATTGTATCCACCACCAGGCGCAATGGCAGAACCAGTGGGTGCCAATGGTGGCCTTGGCTACCATACATTAATCATTGGCCACCCACATCATTTGAGGAAACTTTACTTTTAAGCAATATAAAAACTAGAAAGCAGTTTTTCCTCAAATGTTTGGAGTGGCTGATTCTCTCTTGTAAATGAGTCCTCGAGGATCAATGGGATTAACCTGCCTAAATAAGGGTTGAATGAATATGGCTAGTCATCTTGGATTTTGACCTGGCAATTCCATTTAGCCATCCCACCTTTCTTATACCTAGACTGCTCTCAACCACCTGGAGCAAAAGGACTCCTACGTCCATATGCTCTTTGTGGACTTCATGTCTGCCTTCAACACCATGATCCCCCAAACACTGAGGGACAAACTACTCACACTAGGACTAAGTCCCTCCATTTGCAACTGGGTCCTGGACTTCTTAACAAACAGACCGCAGTCTGTGAGGATCCATAACTTCTCCTCATTTACCATAACCCTCAGCACTGGCTCCCCCCAGGGCTGTGTACTGAGCCCCCTCCTGTTCACTCTGCTCACGTATGACTGTGCACTTACCCATCCAGGCTGACATATTGTAAAGTTTGCAGATGAAACAGCGGTGGTTGGATGCATCACCAACAACGATGAGTCCAGCTACAGGCAGGAGGTGGAACACTTGGAGAGTTGGTGCAGGAAGAACAACCTTCACATCAATGTGAAGAAGATGAAGGAAATGATTGTGGATTTCAGAAGGTGCAAACACACCTACCCCCCCCCCCCCACCCCCCATACCCACCCCACCCCTCCAACATAGGAGGATCTGCGGTGGAAGTGGTCTCCAGCTACAAGTAATTGGGTGTGCACATGAACAACAACCTCAGCTGGAGCAACAACACCACCAGCCTGATGAAGAAAGATCATCAGAGACTCTACTTCCTCAGACGGCTGAGACGAGCTGGTCTGGAAAGCTCAGTCCTCACCTCCTTGTACAGGTGTGCAGTGGAGAGCATCCTGTGCTCCAGCATCAACGTGTGGCATCAAGGCTGCACAGAAGATGTTGGAGTCAGCCTCCCCACCATCACAGACATCTACACCTCCAGATGCAGGAAAAGAGCCACCTGCATCATGAAGGACCCCACTCACCCAGCACACACACTTTTTGTCCCGCTCCTCGCAGGAAGGAGGTTGAGGAGCATTAAGTGTAGAACCACTAGACTGAGGAACAGATTCTACCATGAGGCTGTTAAACTCATGAATCTCTATATTGTTTAGCATATATCTTGGATTCTTGTACATGGTTTCTTTTTATACTTTATAGTTTTGCTATTTTTGGGTGTAATGGGTCCTTGAGTGCACAATTTCCTTCCACCTCATGCACCACATGTGATGCGAATGACAATAAAAAACCTTGAACCTTGAGATGTAGGCACACGCCAAAATAGAAGTTGATACCTCGTTTATTTTTCCAAGTAATGATGCTTGCAACATTCACGGAAGGACAGATGGACGGACCGAGGGTATTTCCAACCCCCTCTTTTCGTAAAACAACAGGGGACAAAGTAATGAGCCACAACACATATGTTTTTGTAAGACATTAAAACACCTCCACACTGTTATAGAACAAACAGATATTTAGATGCAGTATATTAGCACCTCTCCACCTCACCATGTTATAAATGCTCCCCGACAGTGTCTTATTAGTTTTAAAGCATGGCTCCATTTTCTTTTGCCCAAGTCTTAAGTCACTTCATTTCACTACAACACAATTTTTTGTTCCTAATGAGCATGAATAAAATAAACTGGTGTCATATTTGATAACAAATAAAATCTGGGCGCAATCTGGCAGGTGCTTGGTTACCTCTTGTCAAAAGCACAAAGCAGAGGTGTGACAGGAAGTGTCTCAGTCTCTGCTCTCCTGAGTGTAATCCTCTCTACAGCAGCACCTGTCTGATGATAACCTTGAAAAGATGCTCCTTAGTCCATTGAAATGTGGCTGTGTTAAGAAGAGGATGATGCAAATCCTCAAGAGATTTTGTCTCTGACCTGCATGGTGCAAATAGCAAATCAAATTTATTGCTCAGTGGTGGACTTAAAGAGATGGTTCAGATCTTTTGAAATTAGGCTCTGTGGACAGGTTATGAAAAATTAATAACTTACCTGTTTAAGACAACTCTTTCAACAACCTCAGTTTGGAGAACGAGTTTAATTTGGACTGGATTGATGAGATAAAGGCTAGTCCAAGACCAAAGTGGATTTGTGTTGTGCAAGATGACAAGTAGCTCAGGGCTGCTGTGAGCTTGAAACAATTTATCTCACTATGAATAAAAAAGTGGACTGGTGACAGGAGACAAACACTAAGGAAATCCTTTGAAATCTAAAAGTCTTGTTTATTTGATATGTCCTCTTACCACAATCATTCCAAGTTGAATGAAAATTTAAAAAAAGGCATAGTCTCTTGTGCATGTTTGTAGCTTACCTGGCTGACATTAACTGGTGTAAGAACCATGTCCAGGACTCCCGACCAGCCAGCAATGACTCCAGTTGGGACTGCATAGGCCAGGGCAATCATCAAGAACCGGAAATTGCTAAAAGAAAATAAAAAGATTAATAACAATTAGGCACGAATGCACAGGTTTGACCAACTGTGCCATGAATGTCCCTTTTTCTGACAAAAGGTTTGGATAGCACCATCTAAACAAAGTTAAATCTTCCATATAAAGTCAGACAACTTGTGTACAATCTTATAAAAAAACAATCGTTATAAATAATTTCTCTGACGTTGAAAAAGAAAAAAGTTAAAAGCAGCAAATAACGTAATTTGAGAAACGTTTAATGGTGTTCAGCATGTATGCACGAGTAATGAATGTAAAATTTTTCAAACAGATGAACCCTGTTGAGTTCGCACATTCAGACGTTTTCTTAAGAAAATCACTGTGATTAACCCGTTAACTTCAATTAAACTATATAAACAGGCAACATCTTCCAGCTGTGATAATGTGCTAAAATACCCAGCATGTAGGGTTTCAGCCTTTTTCCCCACAGCTTCCTGGTTCCTGGGCGGCGCCCAGTGAGCAGCAGCTGATGCAGATCTTCCTAATGAGCTCCAGAGGTAAGGACTGCAGGAGAACCTCCTTCTTTGCTGGAGCATTGCACAACTCCCAGTAGTTGCTTGCAGCCATTGTGAATAAGTGCTTTGTTTTACTTACATTGCCTCCAGTAATCTGGTCTCCTGGAGTCTTGTGCTCTGGATCCCTTGTGAAGCTCCTTGTGCATAAAGGACCATGCTTACCTTCAGCTGCTCCGCTGCCGCTCCACCATCAGCCCTACTTCTTACCTCAGCCTGGAACCTGAAAGCCTTGGCTCTACGCGGCGTGGCCACCCTTGTTCAGGAAGAGATCGCCCCTCTAGTATCTAAAACATCTCTCTACGTTCCTGGACTCATCCTGTTCCCTCCCTCCTCAGGTGTTCCAGGTTCCCTTTGTAAATCATAGTAATCTATATTTCACTGTAAACAAATCACTGCAAATCATATCCGAGTTGGTTCCGTTACTCTCAGTCTGATTCCTTATTGGCTCTGACCACCTGATCGTGACACAGCGTCAGATACCAGATTTTGGCCGTCTAGGCTCAGGGCGACTGTCTAACTACCGCAGATAACCAGAAGCAAATATTTAATTTGTTATAAATGTATACTCTATGTACACACTGAGCTTTTGCTCTTAGGGTGTATAGCTCCTCTGAAATCAAGTCATCCCAAATGAAGTCAGTTGAAAACGCAACAAACCAATTTAATCACCTTTGCTCAATGAGGTGGCGTACTGATTTACAAATCAAAGCCTCGTTGCCTCAAATGAGGCAGTTAGTAACACTAAGCAACTGGAAAATGAGTCTTCTAAGACCCTAAGATTGTCTGGTTTTCTTGCTTTTGTTCTTTTTTTGTTTATGGACACTACTAACATATCTGGCATCGATATTTTACGATATTAATCCTTCGTGGAAAACACTTAAAGACCTATGTGTCTTCTAAAGTTCAAACAAATGCTATTTACAAAGGAAATTTCCTAAAAACACCTAACATGTACATAAAAGCATCGTTTCTGGAACAACATGCGCACCCTTTCCCTCTGTTGACAATGGTGCACCGAGGATTTTTAACTTTTCATTACGGAACGCCTCGTCTCAACAGAAAAACAAACGGGCTGCGTTTTGGCTGCAGATGGTCCATCTTCTTTAGCTACTTGGCCTTGGTCAGGGTATAAGGAGGGACGCCCATAAAAGCCCCCTGATAGAGCTCTCTCTGTTTCCCCCAGCACCTTTTTCATTAACCTTGCCACAACAGCACAAAATCAATATCCAAGCGCCTCTATCTTTATACATGATCTACTATAGACATCCAAAAGTAAGCGAGCTTCCTTTGTGAGTGGATGAAAAATTTTACCCCTTCACTTCTTGCCCATGACATAATGTTTCCAAACAAGTCTCAAAGCTGATGGTGTCATCAGCTAAGTGCTATTTGTCCTTGGCTAACCTAGCTGGAGAGTAATGCATCAAAAGGACAACTTTCAAATCTAAAATGAGTCTGACCAGGAAGGGAGGATGTTCGATACTCGCGCTTTGGACTGTGAAGTAACAGAAACTCCCAGGGTCATTTCGTCAGAATGATAATTTCACACAATGTTTAGACACATCCAGAGTTTTAATTAGACTGCTGCTGTGGAAGCAGATGTGAGCACCCTGAAGCTGAAGATCATTAGCATGAGCTCACACTCAGACAGGCTACACGGATGGTTGAATACATGATTGGACAGACGCCAGCCCTACTAAATGATTTGTCGGCTGGCACCTGCAATCTGTTTGCACAAATATAAGCTCACTACCTGTTCTTCAATTATCACACTAAACTAACCCAAACTAAAACCGAGCTGTGACGATTGGCGACTTCTTGGTGAACGCATTCCCGAGACATTCTCCAAACTGTCAAAATGTTCTCGAGTATCCTCAGTTTTATGCATTAAGTCTTGTTTACTTGAATTTTAAACTAGTTCAAAAAATTGTGCAACACATAGGCCTGTCGCGATAAACAATAAATCAATTAATCGCATGATAAATTAAAATTATCGACCTCATTTTCATTTATCGCCTTCATCGTTTCTTCCTGTCTCTCTCTTTCTACTGAAGACACTGGATGAAAAAAAGCTCAACTCCGGTGTTCTTCACTGACCCCTCCCTTTCTCTTTAAAATCTGTTTTAACCAAACAAAATCACATTTATTGATCGTTAAAAGCAGCTAAGCTGAGATGCTAAGCTACGAGCTAACTGGCCGACATGGGGAAAAAAACCTCCGTCTTGTCGAAGCTCCAAAAATTCACGGTTGAAACTCGTGCCTTCGTCTAAGAAGTTGTTTTTTCTGCAAAAAGAAGCTGAGAACTTGTTTACTGATTTTTTTATTAAAAGCTTTGTGTGAAAAATGCTAAAGAGCTCAAACCACACCGAGCGTACGCCATTTTGATAACCAAAGAGAGACAGCCCATGTCATGTCGAGGGGCCTCCCTCTAATTTTTCTTAAAGAGACACGCTGCTCGCTCCCTCACTATCCATCCTTCAGCTCAAACAGCCTTATACTGCCATCCAGGGGTCAAAAAAGTTACTAAACACAAAAATAAACCAACGTTTCTTCTTAAATTTGACAATAATGAATAATTATTGTCAAATTTCAAACAATATTATTGTTTATCACAATAATTTATGAGACAATCGTCCAACAAAATTTGTTATCGTGACAGGCCTAGCAACACATTTTCTCTCAAAGCATCTCAAACCCTTCTTGAGCATTATTTTGGCATGTGCAAGGAAACTCCCCAGTAACAGAAAACCTCTGAGGTGACAGTCTCAAATGTCCAGGTCTAAAATCCACTATGATTATGATTAATATTTTAAAAACGGACAACGATCTGCCTATCTTTTAATTAAAAAGTGTCATCGGGCAGCTGCCATGTGGGGAACAAAGCCTAACCTCTGCACCATGCGATGGACATAAAATAATAATTTTTAAAAAGTATCAATAAACACCAAAGAATAGTCAGTATTATTGGGAAAGCCTGACCAGCGCTTTCTTGAGATAATATTAAAATTATTCAAAACCGTACATTGTTTTCTTTTAATCCAGAAGGAAACGGTTTTCTGAGCTGTTAAGATGTAGAACTCGTACTAGCGTTAGTTACTCAGATGTCTAAAGATAAAAACAAAAGACGGGAGTAAAATTCCTGTTGAAATAAAGAAATACAAGAGAGCAAATTATGTTTTACACGGCTAAAAAAAAAAAAAAAATCCCGTCATACTTGTTCTTGAAAAGTTCCAACAGTTTTGACGCAGAGGAGTCAAAGCAGCCATGTTGTCCTGCTCTGCGTCGTGTCCCTCAAAGGCGCCTGACGCTGCTGAAATCAGATGCATGTTGCTCAAACAGGTCACTGGAAGGCTGCCTGTCTAAAGTGGAACACAACCCTCGCAGTGAGGCTGGCAAGTTAATGTGCAATGAACGGTCATCCGTCCAGAACCATGCGTTCGGTTGATTCCTGCTTGGTTCTTTTGATGTACGGGAGGGAACCCTTACAGGAGCTGGTCCGAGGAATGTGGAGAGCTTGGCACTCCAGTGGAGTGATTCTTACTGCAGGGAGAACCAGTGCAACCAGCAAAGCTGAGCCAGCTCCCTGTTAGCTATTGTCCAGCTTTCCGTCTCTTCCCTCCAGCCTCTATTCCCCGGCCACAGCCTCGTTCCTTTACAAGCCAGGCAAAAGGCAGAGCACTCGCTCCTCAGGCAGCGCCGTATCCTCGCAGCCCAGAGGATAAATATGGCCTTGATGGAAAGTGTGACTGTGTGTGCTACAAGATTATTTAGCTCCCCACACACACCCTTGTGTTTTTCTAGTGAAGAATGAAAGAAAGAAAAAACAGTAAATAGACTCCAGAGACATCCAGGACCTTAACAGAGCATCTATTTCTGACGGCACACATCAGAGAGAAAGGTCTCACAGCACGTGCGGCTGACCCTGAAGGTGTGGCTGCTGGGGAGGATGGTCTTTTTCTTTAACAGCAACTGGTATATTATAGTTCAGCAAATATTTAGGAAGGAAGGCAGAGGGTTTTGATTACAACCAAAGCAGATGGTGAGTGGCAGTCCCCAATTCAACGTCCCTCTACAGCGCTGGATTTTGTCACTTCGGCTCTCTAAGGCAGGAGGAGCCCAAAGCATCTGCACAAAATAAACCGAACTCTGCAGCCGCAGCAGGTCGAACGTCACCAGAAATATTTAAAACCATCAAACATAGCCACGCATTAAAGTCCTGTCAACACATCTGTTGCTGTGTATTTAAATCAAGGATCAATGGTAAGCATCCTAACGAATGCAGTGAGAGGATATTCCTCAAAGACCTTTCAGAACAGAGCCTGTGGTTTTACCTCAGAAGTCTGCAGATGCTGCTCCTGTAACTGAGTCTCTGGCTTGCTGCGGCCACACTAGGAGGAACCGGTGGGCGAGATGGGAAGTAGAGCAGCACGGCTGTAAAAAGCACCGCGATTGCAGCCAATTCTGGGGATAAAAAGAGATACGTGTGCGTCTGTGTTTATTTTCACTTTTTACAGAAACACTAAAAGCACTCAGGGCAATATGACATTTTAAAAAAGGTCAACGTGACACCTTTAAGTTTTCTGAAGATAGCTCCGAGATTAATTTAATGGCCGACTAGACAAGACAGTAGAATAAGAGTATCTGACAAAATTGTGCAATCTGGCAATCAATCTGAAGCTTTAGTTGCTTCTAAAAGAAGAAAAATAAAAAAGGAGTCGATTACAAAAACGGTAGAATGTACGGGGCTTTTGTTTTTTTAACTATGGTTTTTTGAAACTTCCGATTCACAAAACGTGTCTGCTCTGCCCTTCAAAAATTAATAATATTACCTTAGATTAAACAAAGCCGCTGCCTCGATCTATTACAGCATGCTTGTTTCTCCTTTCATCGTGCTTTTAATTTTCTGACTCAGTTAAGCATAACGGTCTCGGCAAGCTATTTTTCAGAGGCGCGGTTACAAGGATTATGACGGAGGCTCTTGGTGTTTGTGCAGAACTCTTGAATCCCTGTTGCCTGATTGTATTTCTGTCCCTTGACGGGGCTGACACGGTGTTGAAACGATGCGCTATTGATCCTCCGTGCTTACGGAGGTTCTCGCTTTCTGCTCGTACCTGCATACATAACGAGCTGTATTCTGCTTGGAATGGAGCTGTTGGAAAGCCCCGTCGCTGCCTGGGAGTCATTGGGAGCCGGAACGATAAGAGGTCCCACCAGAAAAGAAGCAGCGCCTCCCAAATAGGAGAAGAGTGTGGCCACGGCCGTTGCTGTTGCTCTCTGATCGGGGGCGAACCACGTGGTGGAGAGGAAGGGGCCAGCACTCATGATGGTTGGCCCAGCCAAACCGTTTAGAAACTGGCCTCCGTGGATCATCCTGTAACAGAAGAGGAAGAAAAGCCGTTTCAAATCAACAACAAAAAAACAACAAATGATTATGCACCAGTGTAAACTGATTAAGGTCTGAGTTTCTCCCACTTGCTGGCCTTCATCTGCACTGCGTGAGTAAGCAATCTAAAATATCATCAATAAACTAGTGAGGTTTTAAATGTCCTGATGCATGCTCAATAATGCAGGTAGAGCAATCCAACAAAGTTAAGTCAGGTCCTCTGGATGGATTCAATTTTTAAAAAATTGTTGAAACGTTTAATTTTTTATCCTAAGGACTTCTTCAGTCTGAGGAGCTGTACTAAACTCAGTCTTATAAATAGCACCTTCTCATAGTGGATCAACCAGTTTGATGGTGACATCCAGAACCAGCTGTTCACATGACAAAGGAGGACCATCAACCTAACAATGGATCCAACATTTTTCAGTCAGGTCATCTGGACAGTTTCTTTTTTTGTGCTGAAACGTTTCGCCTTCGATCCAGAAGGCTTCATCAGTCAAGGAAACGCACAACAAAACTAATTCTTCCCCCAACAACTTACTCCAAAGTGGAACAAACCAGTTCTGCTTGTGATAAGATGGTCTCTTTAGTACGCCCCCTCCTCCAATGCCGGCCCTCTTCCTTGTTGACAGTCTTGTCAAACTGGTTGAAAACAACAAAGTCCATGCTCAATCCAGATGACCTGACTGAAAAATGTTGGACTGTATACCTGGATTATTGAGCATGGACTTTGTTGCTAACAATGGATCATTAGCACCTGATGGCCGTTTGCTATTCACAGAGGGCTGAGTGATAGGAGCAATAACAGCATTATAAAAAGGGGACAGTTGGACATGGAGGCTCCGCCCCTGTTTAATGATGGACAGTTTCTCTTCACAAAGATGGCCTCCTTTACTCCTCTCTCAAACCATCTTTCCTCTCTGTCCAGGATGTGAACATCTTCATCCCTGAAAGAGTGACCTCTGACCTGGAGATGAGTGTAGACCGCAGAGTCCTGGCCTGATGATGTTGATCTTCTGTGCTGGTCCATCCTTTTGGCCAGAGGCTGTTTAGTTTCCCCGATGCATGAAGGAGGCCATCTTTGCAAAGAGAAACTGTCCATCACTAAACAGGGGTGGAGGCCTCCGTGTCCAACTGTCCCCCTCTTACAATGCTGTTATTGCTAGTATCACTCAGCCCTCTGAATAGCAAGTGGCCATCAGGGCACTAAAGATCGGTCGTTAGGCTGATGGTCCTTCATCATGTGAACAGCTGGTTCTGGATGTCACCAGCAGACTGGTTGATCCACTAGGAGAAGCTGATGTTTATAAGACTGAGTTTGTTGCAGCTCCTCAGACTGAAGAAGTCTTTTGGATAAAAGATTAAACGTTTCAACAATTTTTTTTAAATTTTTATATTTGAATCCGTCCAGCAGCACGGTGGCGCAACTGGTAGAGTTGCTGCCTCTCAGCGAGCAGGTCCCTGGTTCAAATCCCAGTCCGGGGGCCTTTCTGGGTGGAGTTTGCATGTTCTCTCCGTGCATACGTGGGCTTTCTCCGGGTGCTCCGGTTTCCTCCCACAGACCAAAAACATGCATGTTAGGCTGATTGGTAACTCTGAATTGTCCCTAGGTGTGAGTGTGTCCCTGTGATGGACTTGCGACCCGTCCAGAGTCTCCCCCGCCCCTCGCACAGTGATTGCCGGACATGGGCACCAATGACCCCCGTGACCCAAAATGGAAGAAGCGGGTAAAAGATAATGGATGGATGGATGAATTCGCCCAGTGGACCAGACTTAACTTTGTTAGATATCAAGGTTAAAGGTAAAGAAATGAAGACGTGCCGTAATGAGTGTACGATATAAAACTGAACGCTGAGGGACTGAAAACAAGACAATGAACTCGGGGGATTTGTGAGACAACTTGCTCTGAGAGGACCAAACTTCCAGTCTCAGTTTTGCACCTTGACTCAGCTGTGGGAGACAGATGTATTATGAGATGTCCCCTGATGACAACAGACCCCCTTCAACGCTCTCGGCCCCCCTCTCAACCATCTGACGGAGACAGCCAGCCGCAGGAGACAGCTCACGGCTGATTGATTGTCTGTAAGCTCAGTAAAGACACCGTTCATCCAGAGCGGTGGAAGCAGCTCGTGGGGGAAAGGGGCAGGAAAGAGTAAACGAATAAAGGGAGGCAAAGGGGGAAGTGTTACGCTAAATATGAGCTTTCGGTATTCAAATGTATTCACTCTGTTTTCTAGAAGGATATAAATTTGATCAATTGTGAAAGACGGTTAAATGTATTTGAAATACTATTTTAAGAGTCTGATTATGTAAACCATTTTCTGTTTAGGACGTGTTAACGTAAAGGGATGTTTAAACTGTCGCAGGTAGTTTGTCCAGTTTTCACAGGTATGGTGGTTCTTTGTTAATCTTGCTGCCCAGTGTCTCTGGGCTTCACAGATAAACACGTCGCAGCAGAACGTGGAGTTGTGGTCAGAAACCGACACATGGCAAAGTAACTTGTTCTCAAACCTGATGACGTCACAGCCTAACTGCACCTCCTTAATTTCTCTGGGGCCCCTACCTTTTCTTTTTATACATCCCTTTATTCCCGTGTTTTACTCTCATCTCTCCATCTATGGTGTGACCAGTGCCTGTTTTGTGTCTCTCTCAGTGCGCACCGTCACCAATTTCAGGGTTTCTGATCTGGTTCTCTTTGTTCTTGCAGGAAAGTTTCAGATGCCTCCTCATCCAGTCTTATGCTGTGAACGAGTGAATCGGATCGATGGATGCCGTGCAGGGACAATGCTGCATTTCCTCACAATTTTCTTTATAACTATGCATGACAGGTGATAAGAACAAGCTCTAAAATACATCTCTGTCACACGGTAAAGTGGAAATGACAGCGTAAGGCTATGGTAATTTATCATTCTGTTGTATTGTTGAACAAACAGCATGCTTTCGATTAAACAAACAAGAGTACAGCACACGGCACATCGTACACTCGTCAACAAACTATTACACAGCAACATATAGCAAACATCTTGAATAACCCTTGACCTTAGAGCTGGGTGATGAAAAGATTATACCGCATGCTGCTTAATGATGTTATAAAGGCGTATCAAGTTTTGGAAAATTGCCTTCAAATTAGAAGATCCTGACCATGACCTTGTATAACATTTGACCTTGATTTGTGACCCTAACCTTGGAGGTAAGGTGATGAAAAGTGTGCAACACTTTGTCTAGTGATGATGTGTGCAAAAGTTTTGTTAAATCATCTTGAGCAAAGTTACGGGCAGGACAAACACGAACAGACGGAGACTTTACCATAATACGTCCACCTTTCAATTGGCATATAATAAAGTGAGGCACCTAGTGTGCTTATAAAGAGTTGCACAATCTCACCACAAGTAGTAGTAACATTTCCCAAAACCTTAAAGGAATAGTTCAGATCTTTGGAGGTGGGGTTCTGAGGAAAGGCTACGATCAATTATTTATATATTTTTTGTATTTTTCATGATAAATAAAAATTATCGACCTCGTTTTCATTTATCGGCTCTATCGTTTCTTGGTGTCTCTCTCTTTCTACTGAAGACACTCGATGACAAAAGGCTCAACTCCGGTGCTCTTCACTGACCCCTCCCTTTCTCTTTAAAATCTGTTTTAACCGTTCAAAATCGTGTTTTTGGATCGTTAAAAGCAGCTAAGCTGAGAAGCTAAGTACGAGCTAAGCTAACAGGCCGACCTCGGGGGAAATACCTCCGTCTTGTCGAAGCTCCAAAATTCACGTTTGAAACCCGTGCCTTAATGTAAAAAATTATTTTCTCTGAAAAAAGAAGCTGAGAACTTGTTTACAGATTTTTTTTAAAAGCATTGTGTAACAAATGCTTTGCTCAAACCACACCGAGCATCCGCCATTTTGGGAACCGAATAAAGGAAAGAGAGACAGCCCGTGTCATGTCAAGGGGCCTCCCTCCCATTTTTCTTAAAGAGACACGCTGCTCGCTCCCTCACTATCCATCCTTCAGTTCAAACAGTCTTGTACTGCCATCCAGTGGTCAAAAAAAGGTACTACACACAAACATTAACCAATTATTAAATAAAAAAATACTAATTATTGTCAAATTTCAAACATTATCATTTATCGCAATAATTTCTGAGATAAATTAATTGCCCAGCATAATTTGTTATTGTGACAGGCCTAATCCCTGTGCATGTGTGTCTGTATGTTTATGTTGTTTTTGATGTCAGCAAAATATTTAATCAACTGGGCAGATTTTAATTAAACTTTCTAAAGTAAAGACTGGATGTACATCTACAACTGATTAACCGTTAGTCATTAATCTTTGGTGATATTCATTCCTTATTCTTACATGACAATGACTTGAGTTTGTCTAAGTAAGAAACATTATCACAATAATTTCAGCCCATAATTGTCACATACAATTACCTCCTTTTAAAAAGAGATAACATTATATATATATATATTGCATTAAATAGCAATATAACACCAAGGTTTCAAGGATTCAAACTGTTCATGGTGGTTTCTTCCTCAACAGCCGAGCTGAAACTATGAAACAAAAAAACTGAACTATTATTATTTGATCATGAAGAAATTGCTTCAGTATTATCTGAAGTTTGGTCAATACCCTCCCTCGCTGTCTAATGGGTCACATGATGGATGTGAACACAACATTATCTGTAATATGACAGGTGATGAGGAAGGATGCTCAAAGATGATCGGTCAGATGAGCAAACTTTACTGTGGCTGGAGACAGAGAGCAGAGGAATGGAGCACCTCTTTTCAACTAGTGATTCATCACCATTGATGAACCCCGTCAGACTGAATTTGATGGAGATGGAGACATAGAAGCCAGTGCTGTGGCAAAATCGTTGGACTGCTTCTGGTCTGCAAAGGCTTATAGATTCAATTCAGAAAAAAAAAAGTCCAACCCAATTCTACCTTGAAAGTGGTACCACAGCAATCATGATAGTACGGTCGCTTTGTC